TATTTCTCTAAAATTAAAATAATGAAGATGATAATATCCATGATTAACACATTTCACAATAAAAATGGTTAATCAACCTCTCATAATTACAAAAAAATAAACAAAATGAAAAAATATGATTGATTGAATGAGGTTTTCACGGTTTGTACAAATTAAGTGGTTTTTATTTGAACGCTCCTCTATATACATATACATATATTATAGAAAATTATATACCAGGTACGGGGCAGAAGAAGGGATACAATACCCAGCCCCGACCCCAACCCCCGGTTTGAGTCTTCCACGGATCCCCGGCTTCGGGACCTGTTTTCTACCGGGTCAGTGCATATCACCATTCTTAGTCAACTCGCATAAGAGGTTATATATATCCAGGTTAATTTATATTTATAATTATAGTAATACGATTTTAATTTATTTATTTGTCAGCGAATCACTCTAAATTGTTGATGATTGTTATAATTTATTTTTTGTTTAATAAAAAAACATTTTTAGATGTTAATTAATTTCACATTATATTTGTAAACAAAATAATTGTGGATTTTAAATATATATCCGCTAACAATTTAAAATATCAAAAATAAATAAAATAGAATAAACGACAAAAATAGACATTTGTGGTAATATGTAGAATAGCCCCTTATATTTCCACAAATTTGCAAAAGTTGCACAAATTTATTTTAAATTTTCAAAAACTATCCAAAACTTCAATAAAATTACATGTATAACATATACGTAACGTTTAATTATCCGTTGCATTTCAAATTATTTGTTACCCAACTTTTTGTCTAATTACACAGTCAAAAAATTCGGATAAACATACATACTAGTTTTCATATGTTATTTAACATATAAAACAGCACATGTAAAAATACAGTGTTTATACAGTTTTGTTTCATATATGAAACATTCAAGATTGTTTTTTTTTCCCACATACATAACGATCCTCAAATCTTTTACCTATTGAACAACACCGGATAAACATTGTATCTTCACATACGTTGTTTCATATGTGAAACAACACGTGAAAATCAGTTTGCACAATTTATCGAATTTGCAAATGATTGCGCGTCTATATACATTGTGTGTGTGTCCGCATTTCAGATTAATAACACAATTTTTGCAAATTCCATGAACGTTTTAACTATTAAATGCAAACAATCACTCTACTATTTGAAGTGAAGGTCAAATCTGTACGCATCTTATCTCAAATCCCATTTTCAGATGAGACATAATAGATTGATTCAGTTTAGTTTTTTAAATGTTAAATGCAAACAACCGCTCTATGATTTGAGATGAATGTCAGATCTGTATACATCTTATTCCAGACCTCTCTTTCGAATGAGGGATATAACTTATTCATGCAATTTGGTTTTGAAGTGTTAAATACAAACAACCACTTTATTAATTGAGGTGAATGTCAAGTCTGTATACATCTTATCTCAAACTCCACTCCCGGGTGAAACATAGCAAATTACTTAAATGTTAAATGCAAATGATCGCTCTATTATTTTAAGGTGAAAGTCAAATCTGCATACATCTTATCCCAAACCCCCACTTTCGGATGAGATATAACTAGGGGTGCTCAAAAACCCGACCAACCCAACCCAACGCGAAATAATTCAAATCAAAACAATCTGATGTCTAATCGAGTTGTAAAATTGTTAAACCGTATGTATTGGATTGATATTGATTTACTATTATTTGAACCCAACCCAACCCGATGAACCCGATATTCTTTAATTTATTGGATTTAATATGATTATTGAATTTCTATTAATATATACATTAACAATTACACTATCATGTATGCTCTTCATATACACATATTTTCAATCTATTCACATCTTTATATAACTCATTCGTATCTATGTTTAGTAACTGTGAACATATATATGTAAATTGAGAAAATTAACTGAATGTGATATACGTAAGAAGTATGAATAAGTTGTATCAAATGGTTGATGATAAAAAAGAAACTATGAGTAGAGAAATAACATATTCAAGGTTAGAAAAATATTTTAATGTACCAAAGTATTAACCCGACCAACCCGTACGGGTTGGTTTGGGTTGGGTTAAGATTTTTCAAACCGTAAGTATTGGATTCGGTTGTTCAAATGTCTTCAACCCGATCAACCCAACCCATAAGCATCACTAGATATAACAGACTCCTTTAGTTTGGATTTTAAGTGTTAAATGCAAATCTTATAAAGTTGAGGGGGTAGAATTGTTAAAGTTGTTGAAAATAAGGCAGGCGAGTCCACGGCGGTAAACCTGCCGGCCTCCGGCGTTCAACTCAAATGTCAATAAATAATCCTTCCAACATTTTAGAAAGAGAAAGTGAAATTGTAGAGAGAGAGAGTCTGGTGGGTTTTGAGCTGTGATTTAGCTGTCTTCTTCTCTCTCATCCATTCACACGCTCTCCCAAAATCCCTAGAAAAATCCCTCCTCTCATCACTCAAATCTCAAAACCCTCCTTCAATCCCACATTTTGTTCAAAAAATCTCACCTCAAACGAACGACAATCGAGAAGATTGCCGTTCATCGGAGTTTTAATTGTGAAAAGAAAAGATATTTGTTGAGCATCAGATGTCTAATTTGTTGAGATGAAGAACATCTCAACGCATTACTTCAATCTCTTGTACTTTTTTCTTGTTGTTGTGTTGTTAGCATTTTCAACTGGTAATGTTTTCTGTTTTTCCGATGGCGGCGGCGGTGTTGGTGGTTCTGGTCCGCTTACCGACGGTGAGGTGATGTATATCCGGCAACGTCAGCTTTTGTACTATCGCGATGAGTTCGGCGACCGTGGAGAGAATGTGACGGTTGATTCTTCTCTGGTTTTTGAAAACCCTAGGCTGAGAAATGCTTACATTGCTTTACAAGCATGGAAGCAAGCGATTCTCTCAGATCCGCTTAATCTGACCGTTGATTGGGTTGGATCTGACGTATGCGACTATACCGGAGTGTTTTGTGCTCCGGCGCCGGATAATCGCGCTGAAAGAACCGTCGCTGGAATCGACCTTAACCACGGCGACATTGCAGGTTACTTACCGGAAGAACTTGGACTTCTTACTGATCTGGCTTTGTTTCACATCAATTCGAACCGGTTTTGCGGAACGATTCCGCAAAAGTTTCGCAACTTGACGATACTGTACGAACTTGATATCAGCAACAACAGGTTCGCCGGAAAATTTCCTTATGTTGTTCTTAAATTGCCGAAATTAAAGTTTTTAGATCTCCGGTTTAATGAGTTTGAAGGAAATGTTCCGAAGGAATTATTTGATAAAGATTTGGATGCCATTTTCATTAATCATAACCGGTTTAAATTTGAGTTGCCGGATAATTTCGGCAATTCGCCGGTGTCGGTTATCGTTTTGGCGAATAATAAGGTTCACGGCTGTCTTCCGGCGAGCATAGGGAATATGTCTGATACTTTGAATGAGATTATTATGATGAATAATGGATTACGGTCGTGTTTGCCGGCGGAAATTGGGGCGTTGAATGAGGTGACGGTGTTTGATGTGAGTTTTAACGAGTTGATGGGACCGTTGCCGGAGAGTATTTCCGGCATGGTGAGTGTGGAGCAGTTGAATGTTGCTCATAATTTCTTGTCGGGAAGTATACCGGAAAGTGTTTGTCGGTTGCCGAGGTTGGAGAATTTTACTTATTCTGATAATTTCTTTACCGGAGAGCCGCCGGTGTGTTTGAATTTGGCGGCGTTTGATGATCGGAGAAATTGTTTGCCGGCGAGGCCGGCACAAAGGTCTGCTAAGCAGTGCAGGATGTTTGCTTCTAAGAACATACATTGTAGTGCTTTCAGGTGTACTCCATTTGTTCCGGCGCTTCCCTCACCACCACCGCCGTCTCCTCCTGTGCCGGTGCCGTCGCCGCCTGTTGTGACTCCTTCGCCACCTGTTGTGACTCCATCTCCTCCACCACCTCCTGTTTACACCCCACCCTCACCGTCTCCTCCACCTCCACCGCCACCATCACCACCTCCACCATCACCACCTCCACCATCACCACCACCACCATCTCCCCCACCTCCATCTCCTCCGCCTCCGGTAATGTCACCACCACCTCCACCACCCTCTCCACCACCACCGTCACCTCCACCTCCTTCTCCACCACCACCGTCACCTCCACCTCCTTCTCCACCACCACCGTCACCTCCACCTCCTTCTCCACCTCCCCCATCACCATCTCCGCCCCCACCATCGCCACCACCACCATCCCCGCCACCACCTGAAGTAACTCCTCCTTATTGTGTAAGATCACCTCCACCACCTCCTCCGGCTGCATCTCCACCGCCTCCACCCTTGTATTCCCCACCACCACCCATTCCTTACTACTACAATTCACCACCTCCACCACACTCTCCTCCGCCACCCCATTCACCGCCTCCACCACCCCATTCACCTCCACCACCCCATTCACCTCCACCACCTCCGACATATATTTATTCATCACCCCCACCGCCACCATCCCCCCATTCTCCACCTCCACCATCGCCACATTCTCCACCTCCACCATCACCACCTCCTTGTATAGAACCTCCACCACCACCACCTCCTTGCATTGAATACACACCACCACCTCCATCACCATCACCGCCTCCACCTCCACCAATCCACCACCATTCACCACCCCCAGTCCATCATCCTTCTCCACCACCAATCATGTACGAGAGCCCACCGCCCCCAGCTCCGGCATACGAAGGACCACTACCACCAGTATTTGGCATCCCGTACGCATCTCCTCCACCACCACCCTTCTATTGATTCTTTCCTGTAATTCTCCTACTTGGAATTAAAAAAAACCCCTGCAATTATACCCAAAATTTCATCACTGTGTGATGAAAAACATCAAAAGTACACGATTAGATTTTTGTGGGCGTCATCAAGTTTCACGAAATCGGACAGAAGGAAAAAGAGGTAAATGGAGGATTGATTCCCCCAATATTTATTCGAAATTGTTATGAGATTTGTGAAAATAAATTGGCAGGGAAAATTTGTAGGTTGCAGAGAAGTTTTATGTATAGAGAAGATCCATCATATCATATCATATGGGTTTGGTTCTGGTTCTGGTTTCGGTTTCTGGGTTTTTATTGTTATTATCTCATACTTTTGTTTTTAAATTTTATAGTATCATCTTCTTCAAGACACCATTTTTACCTGTATTAATTATCATCTTCTTTGGCTTTTTCTTTTTCTTCCTGATTTCTTCTATGTGTTTGGTTTAGAATCTTGATTTGATTGTTGATTGTTGATTTGTGGAATTTTGAAGTCAACTCTCATTGGATCATGCTCTTTTACTGTAGCAATTACGACCAATCTTCCTTTAAAATTGATTATATATATTGTGGGTTTTAGATTTTATAGAAAATGGGTATTTGAAACTCATTTGATGATCGAATCGACCGATGATAATTGGATTGGATCATTTTCAAAATCTGAGCATTTAAATTAGATTGGATCATTTTCAAAATCTGAGCATTTAAATTGGATTGATCGGTTCTTAAATGATAGTTTAGAATCCTACAACATGATGTTGTTTCTAGATGATATTTGTATGTGGTCGTTTTTAAGAATTTTAGAAAATCTACGAATGATTTGCAAAAATTGGATCGAATTATTGGACCGATCCAATTATATTCGATAGATAAATGATAGTAAATATACAATTAATGGAAATTGATTCAATTCAATCATCCATTGGAAACAGTTGTCCAATATCGATTAAATCGGATTGAATGGCAATCCAACAACGTTCGGCCAATAACAATGTTTTAAATGATGTGAGACATGATATGACGGTGGAGTCAAATCTCAACCTCTAAAAGCCACGGTGAGGCAAACACGTTTTTTAAGATGCGACTTATAACGACAAATCTGTGTATCGTATCTAATATTATATATAAAAACACATGTTTTATATTATTATTCAATGAGTTAATGATAATAAACAATTTAAATTATGTTATATATTAAAAATTAGCAACTAAGGTATTTAAAAACTTAAAGAAAAATCAAATACCGCGTTACAAAAACCGCACACTAGGTCATGACGTGCCATAGGCTTAACGTGGCACGAAACACAAGTCTTGGGTCACGACACACTGACAATTGTTGCGACGAGCCTTTTAGAAGAGTTGCTATTGATCCTTTGGGAGTATTTGTTATTTTGACATTATTGAATTTGGTAGACAAAGTAAATAAATGGTAGAAGATTGGTAAAGATTCTTAAATCCTGTAATTATTGTTTTCCAATTATTTTGTTTAACAAAAACATATGTATTGTTTTTTAAGTATATAATATTTATATACGACAAATACAACAAATAAACTTACACATCCTTCTTACCTTTGGTGATGTTTGAACTCCTGACTTTCTAAAAGACCAATGACTACGATACCGCTAGACCAAATACCCTTTGATAAGTACAAGTATATGTATTTTTGTTGGATGAACAAATTCATCAGAATTTCTCAAATTTGGAAGGAAGTAAATTTCTAAATTGACCCTTACTCTTGTTGTTTTCAATAATCTCATAATATAAAACAAGTATAACATGTAAATTGTTGGATAACAAAGATAAGGACATATGTGATTAGTACAAGTCTTGTTAATTTTAAAGCTGTATTTGATGTGCAAACGAGAGTTGGCATGATAAAGACTTGGATGAATGAGAGCGAGACAGATGGGGAAAGAATTGATGAAGGTGTCAGTGTTCTAATTTGATATGAGTACTTTAGTAATTTACCGTACTTGTCCTGTCTTTCTGATTTTTCTTTTCACTAATTTGGTGGAACATAAATAAAATGCATTTTTATCTGTTCTCTTTGATCTCATAATTATCGCACCATGTCCGTAGTCTCATGACTATAAGTTTCTTTGTTCTGTCATGGCTTGTTATGCACTGTACACATACCAAACGCACCCCAAGGGTTAAAAGACCAAGTGTGTTAGCAGTCGACGCTAGTCAATTATTCCAAAAGAATGATTGTGAGTTTGAGACACATGCTTTCATGATTCAGTAAAAAACTAAAACTGATATATTACAGAATTAAAAGGAGAAGTGTTATAACATATTCAACACTATTAACATCCTCAAAAACCATGAGATCATGCCAACACCAGTTCTGTTTACATAAGCACGTAAGTAGGTAACCCTAAAATACATATATGCCCTCAACTAATGGCATATTCTACTATACATACACCAGAAACACGACTTCAAACTCACTTCAAACGGTCCCTCGACCCTGACTCTGACCATGACCAGAACCATATACTAATCCATTGATGAAGGCCATTTTTGGCCTAAACAAAGTCTCACATGGAAAACCAAAATTGCCCCAAACCCTTTTCTTGAATGGGCACATCCATTGCCTTTATTTGAATGGCAATGTATTGTGATCCAAAAATGTCAAAAACTTGTGACTTTGTGCCCATCAATGATCCACTTGTGGGTTTTTCTTGATTTGTTGACATATCATGTGATGTTGACTTGGAAGAGTGCCATTCTTTTGTTGTTTGGCCACAATGCCTTTCTTTCTTCCACTCTCTTCTCCTTAGTAGTATTCTCTTTTAACATTTAACTCATTATTGTTCTTATCTTTTTCATAACAAGCTATTGATATTTATGAAGCATGAGAGAAGAGGAAAAGGAACATTATAAGATTTTCTTTTAAGTGTTATCAATTTAAATTGCATGAAAAAGTAACGTACTTTAACTTGATTTCTATTTTAGGTAACGTGCTTTCAAAACTTCCATTTTGATACCTAAGATGTAAAGTTTTAAACATTTAAGTATCCGGGTAACGGGTTGAAGCATTAACAGGTTATCATGCTGATGTGGCGAGTGATGTGGGATCCAACTCAGTATTATTTGTTATTCAACACAATTTCAGTCACTCATCACATCAGCATGGTCACTGGTTAATGCTTCTACTGGTTACTTGGATATTTAAATGTTTAAAACTTTACATCTTATGTATCAAAATGAAAGTTTTGAAAGTATGTTTTTTAAAATAGAAATCAAGTTAAAGTACGCTATTTTTTTTATTATGTAATTTATCTTATTATTAAGTAGAAATATGGAAAGGTTGATTTGTCTATGAAAATGTAACTTTTGTTTAAGATATACGTTTTACCGGTAACTTAAGAAAGATAAAGAGTAATATTATGGAAGAATATCAACGTCGATGGTCTGTTTTTTATATTAAAATATATGTCCACAAAAAGAAGCAATACAATTTTCGATAATTCATCATTAATTTTCTTTTCTGAATCGTTGTTTTATTGTAAACAAAAACAATACTTAAGAATTGTAGTAAGAAAAACTCTATTTTATAGGGATACGAAACACCTGATGTGCCGAAATGCGTCATCTTTCATTCTTTTGTTTAGGGCTTCTTCAACCGAGTGCTACTGTAACAACCCGTCTCATATAGCTAAAGAATGATATATGTGAGTTCATTACAGTTGTGGGTAACCCATAACTTATATGTTGATTCTAAATTGATTTGAAATTTATTGAACCAGTCTGCTATTTTAGGCTTGAGAATCTACAAATGATATCCGAGTTGATATCGTACCAGTGGGATGGTGGACGAATTTCGTTGAGGATGATGGGTCCTTGAGGAGGGAGTTTGTAACATCTTTGGCTTAACGGTATCCAGTGACCCGACATTCGTAGATATCAGAAGTTTCAACCTCATCAAAGGTGAATAACATGTGAAAGTTCCGTTTACTGTATATAAACATTATATATTTAAAAAAGGAAAATATTGAGTGGGTTTGACAGAGTTGTTAAGAATTTAAGCCCACAAGCTTATAAACAGTCCGTTAACCATAAATATGAAACGGAATTTGTGACATCTGTATAAAATTGAAGTTATATGATATAAATTATTGTTATCATAGGTTTAAATTGATTTACACTACAAACCATCCCACCATTTTGGTGGCAAACAATACTCTTCCACCACACCTTATATGCGTCTTAGCGTCTCCGTTTGTTTATTTGCTACGAGTTGGGTTCATGTGATACCAATTGTTTACACTTGAAACTTCACAGTAAAACGTTGTGAAGGTAAAAAAAGCCGAACCTTCACAACAAAAATACTGTGAAGGTTACCTTCACAGCGTTTTGTTGTGAAGTTTCAAGTGTAAAAAAGTGGTATATTTGCTACCGTATTCTATTAAGAGCATTTCAAACAGTTTTACTATTTTAGAAATCTTAAAAATTTCAGAAAAATTTGTTTTAACAGCTATGTTAAACTTTATTTTAAAATAGAAAGAAATAAATGAAATAAAGGAGAAATCTCCGAATTAAAAAAAATAAAAATTTAACATACCTATATTATAAATAACTAAGGGACTGTTTGGCAGTTGCTGAATAATTTGGTGCAGAATGATTAAGTGGTCAGAATGATTAAAACGCTCTCATAATTTAATGGAACACGTACAAACATATCAAAAAGAGGAAAAATCAAAAAAATAAAAGGAAATCAATAAAAAGAGAAAGATCGATGGCATGAGCCAACAACAATGATGGCTGATGGTAGAGAGCGGTCTGATGATGGGTTGGCTGGGGGGGAGCAATGATGTTGGGTACGAGGGATTTGAATGACGTTTGACGGATGTCGAGTCCGGCAAATAATAAAATTTATAAAAATAAGCCTATTACCTCTAAAACACAACTTGTAATAGCGATAAGTAAGGTCGTTTCCTCAGGGACTCGGTATTAACCGTAAGTCCAAGACGTAACCGCGTGCAAGTTCATTGACATTAAAACAATATATATAAAAAAGGGGGGGGGGGTTGGATGATTTATAAATAAGTAAAAAGATTGCCAATTAAATAAACTCTTAGACGATATACGAAATAATCTAGCAATGAGTATCGATTGAAGAATCATGTGAATTGTGTATCACTGACCCAACCAAACCATTCTCAAAGGATCTCAAATCGGATTGAATACCAATACGCATTGACATTC